AAGATAAAAAATGAATTGATTTTCTTTGTTTTTTTAACTTTTTTCCCTTCTGCACTCTGATATCTTTGTGACGATATATAAGGAAATTTTCCGATGTCCACTTTGCAAAAAACTTCGTTTTTTTCTTAATAGATTCCAGTCCCCTCCTCGTTATTATTTATAAAATTCCAATCTCCGATATACACAAATTTCGACCTTCACTTTCACGTTATGCATTCCGATATATTCACTTTATTCGTTCTATTAATCCCGATCTTCACTCTATAAATTCCGATCTTCATTTTTTAAATTAATTCCGACCTTGACTTTATTCGTTCTATTAACCCTATTTCACTCTATAAATTCCGATCTTCAATTTTTTTATTAATTCCGACCTTCACTTCATTCCGATCTCCACATTTTTTAAGTGTTTTTTTTAATTCCAACCTTACATTTGTTAATTCCGATCTCCGCTTTTCCCTTTCTATAAATTCCGATCTTCACTTAATTATTCATTTCGAACTTTACTAATTCCGCACTTCGTTTTATAAATTCCGATCTTCACTTATTTATTCATTCCGACCTTTATTAATTTCGCACTTCGTTTTATAAATTCGGATCTTCACTTATTTATTAATTCCGACCTTTCCTTTACTAAAAATCCAATCTTCACGTCATAAATTCCGATCTTCACTCTGTCATTAATTTCAACCTCCACTTTGTTAATTCCGATCTTCACTTTCACGTTAGTATTATAATAACATAATTCCAAGTTTCATTTTCACTTTATTATGATAATTCCGATCTTCACTTATGCCACGAATTTTTATTTATTTTTTTACCTGTTGCATTTTGCACTCACGGAGGATAATCCCCTCAAACAAGAGGGGTCAGAATTAAGAGCCTTTTCATCATCCTAATCATTGCATACGTCCAGAAAAGAAAAGAAAAGAAAAAAAAAAAAAAAAAAAAAATCTTCACTCTGTTCCCTGCAGGAATGTTCACACATCGTAGCAGCAGCAGCAGCAGCGGCCACCCTATGACTAGCGCCATAAGGAAAACTTCACCGAAGTTGAATGCAGTTATCACCAGTCATCGACTCGCTGCCACACATCTACCTTTTTTTTTCTCTTTTTTTTTTTCACAACACATCTACTCAATTCTAACCTTCTCCGACTCTTTTCCACCACGCAAAGATATCTAGAGAGAGAGAGAGAGAGAGAGAGAGAGAAAGAGAGAGAGAGATTGAATGCAACGTCGCCCCCATCGAATTAGCTTATAGGGGTTAGGGTTAAAAAATAAACATAGGGCCTCATCACGCCCCGGGTGGCCAAATGCGAAAAAGACAAACCACAAAAAAAAAAATGGCGGGTAAAAAAAAATGGCGGGTACATCTCTCCTCTCTCTGGCTGAAAATATATTCGCCGACAAACGAAACACATCTGGAGAGTCAGGTGAGAGAGGGCCATATTAGCATCATTTATACTCTTATAGGGGATATACTCGCACTACGACTTTTTTTCCACTTCTCTCTGGACGTAATTGCGGTCAGGTGCATCGACGCCGCGTCGGAAACTCGGTCATATGCATCTACGAAAGTCCTTACTAGTAGTAGTAGCAGTGTTAGCATGCCCTTCGTCTTCTAGACCAGCGGTAGCGCTTTCGAATGGCGGCAGGCGTTGGCTCCCTCCCTCTCGCCTGCCCCTCTTCACCAGTTACGGGACGACGACCATAGTGCACTACATCTCAACCTGACCTTGAAATTGCCCTAATCACAGTTTATACTAAATAATAAACCACTTTATAATAAATAATAAAGACAATCAGTGGCATATCCACAAATCTCTTCTTGTTATGGGACGGCCACCAGGTCGAGAAGCTTTCCCTGGAGAGATGTGTTTAATCTTTTTTTTTTTTTTTTTAGACGTTTAATCTACATTCTCGTTTATTAGAAAGAGCTGCCACAAACACAAACACAAACACAAAAAAAAAGAGCTGCCAAGCTGTCGGACCAAGCTGGCGCAGGTAGTCTCACTGCTTCACACATTCACGTTCGATTGGCGGCAAAGAAGGGTATAATGACCATATACGTTGTATTCGGGGGGAGAAGGGTATAGGTGTCACTGCTAGATCGTCTTATCTTTTTTCTCTCAAAACTTCTCAAAAACAAAGGCTACGCCCATGGCAGAGATTTCATCATTTGACCTGACCGGCCCTACCCTTCTTTCCTCCGAATACACCGTATATAGTCATATTATACCTGTACCTAGACTGAAAGACACCCCAAATACAGCTATAATGCCCGTACGTTGTATTCGGGGGAAGAAGGTAGGCAATTCCAAATTGCAGTCCTTTACTCGTCTACTTCCAGCGGAGTTCAAATTCAATTTTATCTTATTTTTTATTTTTTTATTTTTTTTAATTCCCTTTGGTCTGATACTGGTAGCTCGGAAGTAAAAAGAAAAATTCACGGAGGCCGGGGTTCTCACAGTCTCTACCCGGATAAACCAAAACCTTCTGGGAGCCTTACCCACACCCAACTGTTTCGCTTTTTACAGGACCCCCATAGGGACCCCAAAACTGAAGAGAGACCTGGCTGTACAGCCTATCCAGATTCTAACTACCTGTATTCTAGACTATGCGAGATTGAAACCTTAGGGACCCCCATAGGGACTCCCATAGGGACCCCCATAGGGACCCCACAGGTCCGTATTTCAACAGTTCACTGGTATATACCAACAGAGCTACCGTCTTCCCCCGAACACAACGCACCCTCATCTTGGCTGTACCGGTCCGGAAATATAGCTTGCATACGTTAAATTTCAGGGTGCGTTGTTATGTTCGGGGGAAGACGGTAGCCCAGTTGGTTGGATCGTCTTAGAACAGCCATATATTTTTTGAGCGAAATTTTTTGAAACCTCTACTTGTTTGTTTCTTAGATGGAAAAAAAAAAAAAAAAAAAAAAGTCCCATTCTGAAAACTCCGGAACCCCTTGGATGTATGTGGACTTCAACGGGTAGGTCCAGATGGGACCCTCCGGAGCTAAAACAGTAAAACATATATGGGAGCTTTCCAAAACAAAACAAAAAAACAAAAAAAACAAAAAAACATGGGCCCAAATACGTAAGTAGGTTTCAATCTCGTTTAAAATGTCCGTTTTTTTTTTTAACGAAATGGTGGTTTTAGAGTTCTGTGTGGTCTTCGGCCAACGAGCCTGACGGTTTTCCTCTATTTTTGGACTGAAAAAAGAAAAAAAGGACGTAAGAAACTACAGTAATAAAAAAGCTTCTAATTAACCAGAGCGCCATAAGATAAGATCCTGATTAATTGCTGAATTAATGACCAGCACCCCAATCTGCTACACATTGATGAGGAGCATCTACCACGTCCTTAATTGATTGATGAGGACCATCCCTCTGTCTCATTAATGAACGAGGGTCATAATGAGCACAAGCTTCGTCATTAATGAGTGTGTAAGGGGAATGATGCCAGATGCTTTTCCTTCCATCTTCAGTCGACGTCTCATCAGATAACGGACAGGGGTCGTTGTCGCTTAACTTCATGCTGCTGTCCGTTAGTGCTCTCCGTTATCATTTTTAATATATTTTTTTTTTAAATCATTATCGTCTTCTGGTCGCGGGTGCGCCGCCGGGCAAGACGTAGGTCACCCAAAAAAAAAACAAAAAAAAAAATGAGACGTCAAGAGCAAATGCCGCCACGGCCACAGGGAAAAAGATGAGAGTATGGTCCCCCGAATACAACGTACGGTCATTAAAGCTGTATTTGAGGCATCTTTCAGTCTAGATACAGCTATAATGACCGTACGTTGTATTGGGGGAAAGAAGGTAGCTGAGTTGGTGCACCCATCCATAAACTGTTAATACAAAAAATACAGACCCAAGTTCGAATCCGATTGGGATCAGATCAGTCTCTGATTCACATGAGGCCGGTCATCTCAAGGCTGGTATCTCGAGGCCGTCTCCCTTTTAAAAAGAGCGAAGGCAAAAACATGAAAGAAAACAAAAAAAACAAAAAAAAAAAACATGAAAGAAAGGACAAACGACATGGCGCGGGGAACCTGTCCGCTTCTAGCGGAAGATAGACTCGCCGTTTCAAACGTTAGGGAGTCGCCGCACGGCAAACGAATCGAAAAACCAAACGAGTGCATGTTCCCGCAGAAGATGGACGAACAAGTTCATCCGTTGCAAGCCCATAACTACTACCTAGTAACGAGTGTATTTACTATTTCTCCACCATTCGTGGGCAGATGTACTCGTTTCGTTTTCGTTTCCTGTGCCGTGTGGAGAGGCCCTCACACATTTGGTGAGAAATGCAGCGGGATATAAAAAATATAGATATAAAAAAAAAGATTAAAAAAAAAACAAAAAAAGAAATGCAGCGGGGGCCAAAGCCATCACGGGTGCAGCCCAGCGCGCTGGACGGGGGGTGGGGGGTGGGGGGTGGGGTCTCTTGCTCGATCCACGGAGGTCCTGGTCGTGTCCCAAACCGTCCGAAAAGAGAGAATGACAGCGGGACAAACGGAGGAGGGAAGGGGGTTGGTACGAGGGAGGAAAGAGAGACGAACGGGGGGGAGCGAAGGGGAGGGAAAGGGGAAGGAACGGCGGAGGGACGGGGGAGGGACGGGGGGGGGAGGAACGAGGACGGAAGAGAGGAGAAGAGACGGCGGAGAGATGGGGGAGGAACAGGGGAGGAACGGGGGAGCAAAAGGGGAGTACGGAGGACGAGAAAGGGAGGGGGACGGGGGAGGAAAAGGGGAGGAACGGGAGAGGAACGGGGGAAGAACGAGGAAGGAGCGGGGGGGGGGAAKGKGGGRGGGRAGGGGCCGARGGGRGGGGGAGAAASGGGGGAGGGATAGGGGAGGGACAGGGGAGTAAACGGGAAGGGAAGGGAGAATAACTGCGGAGGAAAAATGGGGGAGGGACGGGGGAGGACAAGGGGAAGTACGGGGAAGGAAAGGACGCGAAAGGCCAAAGGTTCATGCGGTGAGGGCAATGGCTAACCTGGGGATCGGCAGAAGGTTTGCCGCGCGCCATGAATTCTCCGCAGGGCTCAAATTTTAGCCCTTTCCCGCCAAGATCATGCTCAAAGACGACAGAAACATCTCCCGCGACCTTGCTCGCCGACGTGGACATCGAAGCGGAGGGAAAAACCGACGACAACGAGACAGTGGAGTCGCCGAGTGCTTCGCTAGAGGTTCGCAGCTTATGTATCGGGTCCTCGAACCCAGTAAATTCCTCATCGTCTTCATCAAGCAAATCATCAAATCTGACATCCTTTCCACCCTCTCCTTTCGCCACAGCACCCCTTACTCCCAATATACATCCAAAAGGACCAAAACCATCTCCCCCTCCGATCCTGCCCAGACCCCAGAAAACCCCGAGAAAACTCAGCAAGAC